TCGAAAAGGTTTTACAAGCACTAATCAATCTCTCTCTTACACAGGTTTGCTATCTCTCTAGAAAAGAAACGTTAACAAGGAATAAGCTATAACCTACCTTATATAGAAGAAGAACCCTAATTGGTGTTACCCATGTTTCCTCTTCTTTGTAATGGACCTTTTGTGCAATTCCAGCCCATATACATTCTTCCTTGTATAACATGTATAAGCCCAAACGTCAGCCCAATTGTTATCTGACCGGTTTGGGATGAGATTGACCCGGTTCGGATTAAACCAGAAGGCAACAGATATTCACAGCTAATCACTAATTGGTACGATCCAATGACGGAAAGAACGTTGTAGATTGTAACGATAAAATGTAGTAGTTTCGTTGCATTTTTTAATTGATTCGGGTTTTTAATCGACCACTCTATATGGGTTTGATGTTAGCCGCACCTGGCTATTTAACTGTCGGTTTGGACCAATCATCAAAAATTGGATCCCACCCAAATGTTTCACGTGAATACCCTAAAATTTGTCGTGAGATGCAAATAAAAATTTCATGGGGAAAATCACAACAATTTTGCAACTTTTAAAAGGAATAGAATAAGAAAAATTGAAAAATGTGAACTGATCAGTTAAAATAAGAGTATATTAATATATTTTAAAAAGGGATATTACCTTGGAACTCTTCAAAACTATTGGCAGCATTACAGAGCCATAATATTCCAAAATCCACCCAATGTACGAAATCACAAATGTTCAAAGTGTGAAAAGAACACCTAAATCGACCACCGCCAAGTAGATCCACTAAACCGGAAATTTCCACTGTATTGGTTTAATTTTTTTGGTTCAGTAAACCGGGACGGTCAGGCAAAAGAATTTACGCAATTGTTAAAACGCATCGTTTTAAGGCAGAAGCAACGTGAAACTCTGTAACCACCAATTTTCTGAATCCATTTTCTTCCCTATTTCGTGGTTATAATTGTTCGGTCCTGATTAATTTTGCGTCTTTGAGACAAGTGAGAAGCATTCACTCGAAATAGAGAAGACATGGAGACTGCGATTTGTGGGAGATTCGCTCTCGCACCAACCACTCTCATCAATTCTAAATCAGGTTTCT